AAATAGAGGGAGTGTGTTCTAACGGAGGAGGAAAGTACTGCTCATAACCAGACTCAGTCATCTTAAAGAAAGAAACTTTTTCTCACTTCATATCTGATTCAAACAGAAAACTTCTTCCTTACTTTTGAAAAAGCTAATTTCATCTCAGTCCACGTTTTCAAAGAAGCCCCGGGCTTTCTACCTCTGATTCTTCTAACAATCCCTTTGAGCCTCGGGTAAGTTAAATGGGCTGTTCACGGGGTTGTTCTCCCCAAAATACCCACTAAAGCCAATTGCCAATTTCAGCATCAACTCAGAATTATCATCGTGGGTTTAGAAAATAATGACGCACTTCAGCCATCACCCACCAAGGCTGGAAGATTTAAAAAGATTTTACCCAATTTAGGGGAAATGAAGGTGTGTGGGTTGGCTCGCAGATGCAGCTCTCCGCCCCGACAGGTTGTCCCCCAGACACATGCCCCACCCGGACCTCAGCGGTGGGAGGGCAGGCACCCTGTGCCTTTACCCATCTCTGGAGCCCTCTCCTGCCAAGGCTATTTCTAGGTCGATTTGCTCTGGGTGCAGCAGAATTCGGGCAACCCTGCTCACACGCATCCTCGGGAGATCTTGCACATCTTAGCACGGTCTTCAGCAGCCCGGCTGACCTTGCACCAGTAGATAAAGTGGGGGGCAGAGGAACAAGTGCAAAACTCACTTCCCGAGAAGCAGAAAAGCACACGCGCGTGTCCCTCGGTGAAGAGCGGACAGAAAGCAAGGGGCGGGCGTCGCGACCAGCAATCGCGATACTCAGTCCGGACTGGAGTCCAGCGCGACTGGACCACAACTCTGAAATCAGCTTTCGCTGCAGCAAAGAGCTGCTTCCGACTTCAAAGACAAAAATGTAATCGTAATAATGAAAATAATAATAAAAATAAAGTACTGGGAGGTGGAAGATGGGGGGTGGGTCAGAGGGGGTCTCTGCAGGAGGGCGACGCTGACCCGGCTAGAGGGGGCACCCGCGCCCCCGCCGCCGCCCCCCGTGAGGTGCCCGCGCCCCCGCCCCCGCCGCTTCCTCTGCTCTCCCAGCCCCTTCCCCCACGTGGGGGTGACGTCAAAATTCCGCGAAAAAGCCGCGTGGTGGCTCCCCGAGCGGAGGCGCGAGCCCGCCGCCCAGCGGTCCCCTCCCGCGTGCGCCTGGGGGAGGGCGCGGGGCCCTCGAGGCCGATTCCTTTTCCTCTTGGGATCCCGGGTCCCCCGGCCTCCACGGTCTGGGCGCTCCCCCACCCCAAATCCCATTGGAAAATTCACTTTTAGAAAGCAGAAGCATTTTCACTGCTATTTTCGGCCGCGGAGGCGTGTCCTGAAGCTGAATCAGACAGGAAGAGGGGGAAGTGCGGGGCTTGACTGTTTTTCCGAGGGAGGGGTACCGGGTGGATGAGCGCACGGCAGGCCCGCGCCTGCCCCACCCACGCCCCCCCCCCGCATCTGCTGCACGTCAGGGCTGTCCTGTGCCGCTCCGCTGCGCCCAAGCCCGCGTGTCCACACTGGACCCACACGCCCTCGGCCTCCTGCGTCCCCACCACCTCCTTCCTTCCCCGTGCGCTCCTCTACCCTGCTTTCCCCTCTTCTTTCTCTCGCTGTTCCACGTTGCTTGTACTTCCTCCCCATTCCTCTTGTGCCACCGCCTCTCACGTCGCCATCTACTTTAAAATTACCGTCGGGTTTTCGGTGTTGGTGGTGGGACCAGCTATCTCTTCTGGGACAAACACAGCCCTTTTCCTTTGGGTTCCCGTGGCGACAGCGATGCTCCCGTCCCCTCATACCCGAACTTCGCACTAGCCTCCCAAACCTCCCGACCAGAGCGCCCCTATGCGAAGGCGCGGGGCTCGAACTCGCGCGCTTCCAGCTGGGAGCGACTGCCTGATCCCCCGGCTGCAGCCTCCGCAGGTGAGCTTGGAGCTTGGGAGTGTGTGTGCCTAGCCTTGCAGAAATGCTCCTATAAACACCTAACACCCTGCTGCACCCTACACCAACAGGGTTTTGTACACTTTCCAACCGAAACTGCAAAACGTAAGTGGTTGGGGGTGGGGAGCCGGCTAGACAGGGAATAAAAGTCCAATAAAACTTGCATTTGCTCAAGTTTATCACCCATCCTACAAAGGCTGCGACTTTTTTTCCCCCTTAAGGAAAAAAAAAAAAAAAAAGGATAAAGGACAACTCCCCCACCAAGTGCCCAGAGCAGGGTCACTCGCACTTTTTCTTCAGATCTAACTAGCGCGTTGGCCCAGCAGGCAGCGCGCCTTCTCCCGCGTGCTAGGTGGAGCGCTTTTTAACACGACAGAAAGGTCCCAGCCTCCTGGAGACATCCTGCCAACCCCCGCGCCCTCTCACGCCCCACCCCACGTGCTGGGCCCTCGGAAGCAGCCCGGTGCTGATTTTATGCGCGGTTCCTTGGGGAGCATTGCGTCCTGGGAAAAGGAAGTGAATGGGGACCCAAAAGGGGCGCCCGGCCACGCAGGAGGTGCTCGGGCGGGCGGGGCTCCGCAGGAAGCGGGGCGCCGGCCAGCCAGAGACCCTCGGCGCCCTTCCCTCGCCCGCCACCTCTCCCTACCTCCTCCGTCCCCTCCTCCTGGAATTTCCCCGCGCGCAAGGACAGGGGGAGGGGAGTATAGGGGAGGGGGCGAAAACCTTGGCTCGCTGCTCCGGGACGCGCCACCCAGGCTGCCTCCTCCGGTGGGCGAGCCCGGGACGACCACCCGCCTCTTCCCCGCCCCCGACGTCGACTAGACGGACTGGGGCTGGGAATGCTGTCCTGTAGGGAGGTCGTGCTCGGTTAATTATCCAGTGATGGGAACCCGAGATCTTTGCCTGTCGGGTTAGATCGAGGCTTTAAAAATAGACTGTTGCCCCTACTCTCCTCCCTTCTCCCCTGCAGCTGCCTCGGGTCCGCTCAAAGGTAGCCAGGGGAAGTTTGAGTAATGCTTTTATGAGGTCTTAAAGTGTAAGCTCTTGTATGTGTCCGGGATGACTCAAAAGCTACAAGTCGGGAAGTCCAACTCGACTCAAGTCCACAGGGATGAGCACGGTACCACCTGAGTGTCATCCGCCGCGGAGGCAGCACTGTTTCATTTTGAGTTTACAACGCGAGTTTATCAGTGCGGCTTTTTTTTTCTTCCCGCAAGCTAATGGCTTCCACAGCAATTAAACATTTTCCTCGCCCGCCCCTTCCCTCCCCTTTCTTTACGTATAGGAGATTGGATACTAATTCCTGCTGCCATTGATAAGGCCCGGGGCGCCCCAGCCGCTCCCGGGTCCTGGCCCGCCCCAGTCTTCTCCCTCCGCCCTCCCTTGGCTTCCTTTTGATGTAGCGGGGAACGCGTCCTACTAAAAAAAAAAAAAAAAAAAAAAAAAAAAGTAATCTGCCCGGTAACAATCAGCGCGCAGTAGCAGGAGCCCCAGAGCTATTGGCTATGCAAATAGAGGGAGGGGAGACGGCGCCCCAAACTTACCCTTTTTAAAGCGATATTCCCCCCTCCTCCCACCCACCCCTTCCGCCCCACCCTCGTTTAAAGAGGCTGGCTCCGGGACCCAGTTAATAGCTTGCACCTCTGGTTTGTTCCTCCCCTACGCTGCCTTTCAGGGAACACGGCATAACTGGCCTGGCCCACCCCCTCCCCGCCCCACTCCGCGCTGGCTCCCGGTGCCCCTAGTCGGGCCCCTTCCCGGGCCGGGAGGCGCTCGGACGGCCTCGGTGCGCCCTGAGCGCACGGCCCACACCATGCCCACCGCACGTGCCAACCCAGCCTGCGCTCAGCTCCGGGGTCGCCGGACCCTCGCCCCTTCCTCCTCGCGTGGAACAACTTTCAGAGGCGGGGTGGCGGGAGGAAGGAGGTGAGGAAACGCCACTGGGTCCCGGCTAAAAACAGCCTTGACCCCAGGATGCGTTAGAGCACATGTCAGGGCCGACTGCGCAATTGAAAGCCCCGCCTGGCGAAGGAGGCGCGAACTCCGAGGGGTGGGCGAGGATCCTGGGCTCAGGGCCGGGGGGGGGGGGGGGAGTCTGGGGCCTCCGGGGAAAGGAAGGAGTGAGCTGCGTGTGCCCGGGGGGGGGGCCTCCCCCCCTCCTCCCGGGCCGTTTCCTAGAAAGCTGTATCTGCGGCCACGCTCGGCGCAGACACGTCGCGAGCTTGTCAGCAGATGTAGGGGCGAGGAAGCGGCTTTTTCCTGCGTGGCCACCAGTAGCCCAGGAGCCACTGTTAGCTCTACCCCCGGCCTGTTGCGGCCCCGGACGCCACGCCGCGTCGCTCAATGGCGCCCCCAAGAACACGCTGGTTTCTGCGCCAGGGCCAGATCCATCATTGCAAAGAAGCACCCCCCCACACACACACTCACACACCCTTTCCTCTTCTGTCTCTCCACACACACGTGCAGGAGCGCAGGGGACACTGTTCCGGTACCTTTGGTGGGCTAATGAAACAGCTTCTTAGTTACCAGGAACCTGAACTTCAGGGACATAACCTTTACCTCTGGGTATGCGAGGTTGCTATTTATACACGCCCCCCGCCCCATTATTTTTCACTTTAAGGGATATATTTCTACATTGCTTTCTCCCTGTCTTCAAGTAATCTACACTCCATTCCTGGATCTTGAGAACGTGGGGCAGGAATACTCTCATGTTTGAAGGACCCCAAATCAGAGGGTCCCATTGTAGCATGGGTCACCTAAGACAACGTGCGAAAAGAGAGGGAATCAATAGGACCCCATGGACTTTTGTGGGTTCCCCTATCGGGGCCCCTGGCATGCGGGGCTGGATGCAGGGAGAAGGCCTCGGAGAGCGAGGGAGGGGTGGGGAGCGGGGGACCGCGTTTGAAGTTCGGTCGGGCCAGCTGCTGTTCTCCGTAATAACAAGAGGGGAAAGGAGGGAGGGAGAGATTGAAAGGAGGAGGGGAGGGAAAGGGAGGAAAGGGGAGGAGGAACTGGGGAGGGGAGCGAGGCCGAGGGAGGAGACCTAACTGCCCGGCCAGCTTGCGTCACAGCCTCAGAGCAGAGAAGAGCGGCTGGGGAGCGCGAGGCGACTTTGAAGGGAGGACCGGTGCGGGCCAGGCTCGCCCACCACCCAGCCCCTCGGCTCTTCTCCTCCAGCTCCTCTCTCTGCCCTGCCTTATCCCCTCAAACTCCCGATTTAGCTAAAGGAAGGAGGTAGGGGGAACCTTTCCCCTCCCCCTCCGAAAAAAATAATAAAGTAAAACTTTTGCAGCCCGGAGCACGCCGGGGCGCCTTTAGTCTCCCGACTGGTCATGGAGCTATTGTGCTGCGAGGTGGACCCTGTGCGCAGGGCCGTGCCGGACCGCAACCTGCTGGACGACCGCGTCCTGCAGAATCTGCTCACCATCGAGGAGCGCTACCTTCCGCAGTGCTCCTACTTCAAGTGTGTGCAGAAGGATATCCAGCCCTACATGCGCAGGATGGTGGCCACCTGGATGCTGGAGGTAGGTGTGCAGGTGACACTCCCTGGGAGTCCCGGCTCCCACGCAGGGACCCTGACACGGCGGCTGGGCACCCCCCGCGCCCGCTTCCTGGCCCCGCGTGCGAAGTGATCCTGCGCCCTTTGGGTGGCGGGACGCGTGGCCGAGTTTCGCTTCATGGGGGGGGAGGAAAATCTGGGAGCCACAAGGCTGTCCTGGAGCGGGGGTGGGGAGCATCATGCGCGCGTGTGCCCGCGAGTGGCTTGCTCGTCTTCTTACCCCCTTCGCGACCTGCCTTTTGCGGAGCCGCGACTGTTTTCCATAGAGCGAAGAAGGGGAAAGGAACGTGAAAATTGGGACCCCCGAGTAAAAAGGCAGCCCCCCCAAAAGGCTAGAGCAAAGGCGTCGTGGCCTCTGGTCCCCGCGTGTGGTCGCGACTCCGCGTTGGCATTTCAGAGGGGAGGGGGAGGGAAGAGGGAGGAGGAAAGAAACGGGGAATGCAAGAGCCCCGGAAGTCGCCTTGAAGAAGCGTGTGTTTTAGTGGAACCCTAAAGAAGCACTCTGTACCCTGCTCCCGATCTTTGTCGAGCGAACTGAGTGCCCACGTAGACACAGCTCAGGACCTGCCGTGGTTTCGCCATGTTGCTTTGCAAACTCCAGTTGGAAAGGCTGGAAGTCTTCCCCCGCTCCCCCCGCACCCCTCTCTCCCAGTCCCCCCACTTCTAAAGGTGCCCTTTCCCCCAGCCCCCAAGTCGCCAAGGTTACTTACAGTTTGGCCTTCGAGCTTCCTCGGTGCGCAGATCTGGGTGGGGTAGGAAGGGGGGGAGGAGGTGTGTGCACGGGGAAAGTCAGGGCACCCCAATTGGGAAATGGGAGCCCCCACGAGCTCCCGGGGACCCTCGCTCCCGCCTCGCCCCTGGCCGACCCCGCGCGCCCTTGCTCCCGTGTGGGCCGCGGCCGGACACTCCAGAGCGGCTTCAACCTCCGGGCTTCCCCCGGGATCCGAAGCCCCAGGGGCCAAGATACAGACCTTCCCGGCCCCTGAAACCTCCGTTGCAAGGAGTCGAGATCCTTCTTGGGGTTTTCACGCCAAAAGGGTTCTGCTGGGATATTTCCTTGATTTTTAATTATTTTTTGAAAGCGTCCCCCCTGCTCCGCGGCGTCCGCGGCCGCAGCGCTCTTCCTCCTCTCCTCCCTCCCCCTCTCTGCCTTGCTCTCCCCTCCCACCCCCCAACAGAGGCCCCTGGGCCGCGGGGACCCCCCCAGGCAATTTTTCCAATTGTCGGGAATGATAGAGGAGGGTCTGGGGGTCCGGATGAGCCCAAGAAGTAGACCCCCCGAGCGTCCAGAATATTTTTATTGATTTTTTGAAAAGATGACGAAATCCAAAAAAGAGAGTGAGTGAGTTAGAGTGCGCCAAGGAGGGAGCGGCGCGGCCGAGCTTCGGGGCGCCGCGCTCTGCCTGCTTGAGGTCGGGGCCCACAGTTGCTCCCCTCTTGGGCCCCGTGGACTACTGAAGCACGGACCAGTTGCTCGGTGCACCCCAGTTTTCTCATCTTTTGTTATATTTCACTCTCTACTCCTTCCCCATGGACTGTGCTTTTTGTCTCCGTAGATTGCGCTTTTCATCCAGTTTCTACTTTTTAGATGCTGTTTTCACTCGGCCCGGGCCCTTTTCCACTCTCCTTGTAGGTCTGCGAGGAACAGAAGTGTGAGGAGGAAGTCTTCCCTTTGGCCATGAATTACCTGGACCGCTTCTTAGCCGGGGTCCCTACCCCGAAGACTCACCTGCAGCTCCTGGGTGCTGTCTGCATGTTTCTAGCTTCCAAGCTCAAAGAGACCATCCCCCTGACCGCGGAGAAGCTGTGCATTTACACCGACAACTCCATCAAGCCCCAGGAGCTGCTGGTAAAGACAGCCCCTTCCCCTCCATTCCCCTCCCAGCCCAATTTCCCAAACCCAATTCACCTCAGCGCCCCCGATTTGCACACTGACAACAGACATGCCCCAGGACAGACAAGAACTACTATTTAAGTTCCTACTATGTGCCAACCAGTGAGCAAAGCACTCAGGCTTACGTCCATGAATAAGCTCTTCCTGAAGTTTGTGGTGGCCACATTCATTGCATGCATGATGCATGCATGTGCAGGGATCCACATGGAGCATTTTAATTAAAAGGGATACTATTTTAGTATCCAAAATTTCAAAACTGAACTCTGAGAAAGTAGTCTGACTTCTCCTAAGAGGATTGTGTTCTCCAGATAGGAATAAGTTGTGTGTCTCCTAAGCACCTTAGAGGTCAAAGGTAGCATCGTCTTTATAAATCAATAAAGTCTTGAGATACCAACACATAGTAGTTGATCACTAAATAGAGGTACATGAACCGTTGAAAAAAGTCAAAATTTAGCCTTTTATTGAAAGAACCAGAGGCCTAGGGTTTTAGCTGTAGGAGGCTTGATCTCTCTGTTGGTGAGGAGTCCTGCCTTGGTTCTAGTTTTCTGCCTGAGTTCACTCCCCCCACCCACACACACACACATACTACCATCTAACTTTTTCCCTTGCAGGTTTGCCCATAAGATGGCCTTAGTCCCACAGGCCTGGGGTGGTAGAGCAGCCCCCAGGCCACCTTCCGTGGTTTGCACACCTTTGTCTGCAATCCTTTGAAAACCTCTCCTCCTCCCCACTGCCCTGAGCCTCTCTTACAGCTGGGCCAGGGCCTGGGCCTGCAGAAAGTGCATAGGGCTGGGACTGGCTTCTTGAACTGAGCTCTTTGTGAGGCGCCTTCTTTCTGGGTCTGTGCTGCCATCTAGTGGCAGACATGCGCAAGGCTGGGGGAGGAATCGCCCAGAATGTAGAGAGGGGCATGAATGACTTCACCTTTGAACCACTGCCAGATTTCGGCTGCTTCTGGTTTGGCCCAGGAGGCCCAGAAAGGTGCTTTCTTCTGGAAGATCTGCTTCCTTTAATAATGGTGCAGCATGGGTGCTTAGACTTTAAGTTTTTACTCCAACCCTCTGCAAAAAGCCTGGGCAGATTTAAAAGCTCGCTCAGAAAAAAAAGTGACCAGAACCAGGAACCAGTGTATTTTTCTCGCTAAAGAGAAGAAAAAATAATCTAGTTGGTTCATAGTGCTTGGTAGGGACAGTAGACTAGAGGTACTCAAGACATTCAACTTCCAGCACCACCCAGGCTCATATATACTGCTCCAAAGAAACATGCCTTTTTCGTCTCTCGTCTCTTTATCCCAGGTTGGTGTAAATGACCTGGACGCATCCTCCTGCTATACCCCTGGCCAGGGAAAGGACATTGCCCCTTGCCACATAGCCAGTTGCTGCTGAGGTTCAGCATCAGTCCCAGACTTTGTAATGGAAGAGATCAGGCTTCTTAGGGTGAATCAAAGCAGGGTGTGCTGGTGTGGTGCTCTCAGCGTCTCTTCTGAAGACACAATTGATAAGCATATTGTCACTCCGATTATACATGGACCTCTTTCCCTTTGAGCACAATTTCCCATATATCTCTCAAGGAGAGAAGATTTATCACTAGCTCAGCTGCTAGGAGAGGCCCACACAAGACAATGTTGTGTTGTCCCAAGGTTTAGCTGGGGGCTTCTGTGACCTCACACAAGCATTACCCACCTTGTTCCAAGTCACTTCCATCTGCAAAATGTGGTTGCAGATGACCATCTCGGCCTTAGTCATGATGACGGAGGTCTGTGAAACGCTGAGGAGAAAGTGCTGAGTGTCACATCTCCAAGATTTCTGCGTGACGTGTCAAGTGGAAAGTTCTAACAGCAGAGAGAAAAACGGCACCTTTTCGGCATCAAGTAAAAGCCAACTAATTGGTTGCCAAGGAGTTGGGCCAAGGAAACTTATTTTCCACTTTATCAATGTGTATCACTTTTCCATGACGATTAAAAAGGTCATTAATCAGTGACAGAGACATATACAATACATAGCTACAAAGGGCCGCAGTGACCTTGGCTATATCTCATTGTAGGTTCAACTTTCTGGGTGGGCAGGCTGCAGCAGTTCATGGAATTTAGGGTGGGGTGGGCTTGGCCAAGCTAGAGAGAAAAAGAAGTAAAAAGAAGTGAGGATCTTGGCAATAGCCACCTGGACTCCCAGTGTTTTCAGGGGAGCCTGACGTTCACAGCGTAAGAAGAGCATCAAGAACTTCAAAACGTTTGGGGCACAGTGACAAATGAATCCACCTTGGAATTAGCAGCCCCATTTAATGAGTGTCGTTAAAGCTGGCATGGGCCCCAGGGGCCATGTCCCCAGTCAGCTGTAGGTTTTATACCCTTCTGTCCTCTTCCTGTCTCCCTCACCAGGAGTGGGAGCTGGTGGTGCTGGGCAAGTTGAAGTGGAACCTGGCTGCAGTCACCCCTCACGACTTCATCGAACACATCCTTCGCAAGCTGCCCCAGCAGAGGGAGAAGCTGTCCCTGATCCGCAAGCATGCGCAGACTTTCATCGCTTTGTGCGCCACGGGTGAGAGCAGGCGCGGAGCTGGGGTTCCCAGAGGGAGGCAGTATTCAGGGCAGTCCCAAGTAATCTAGAGTCTGAGGTTTCATTCCTAGGTTGTTTGTTCTTAAACTTTATCAGAGCTAGTATATTCTTTTGCTCTGCTAACCCCATAAATGGTTTATGGGGACAGGTGTGGTAAGGGGAAAAAAATTAGTGCCTGTTAAAATGTTCTTTACGATGTCTAAAGTGCTCTTTGAAGATTATATATACTGCTCACTGATTGTGTATAAATCTTTAATCTTTTAAGGAAAAAGATAGCTTGGAGATAAGCCCAAGAGGAAATGTAGGGGGTGGGGCAAATACAGACTGAAAGAACAACACAAGAGAAATATCTCGCTTCTCTGATAAATGGAAAGGGAGCAGAAAGGCGTCTGTTTCCTATAGGGTGTTTATTGCCTCTGCGCCCTTGCTGGATGGGAGTGGGGACCTGGTAGCTCCCGGCAAGGATTTGCTCTCCGAGCTTGGGGTTCCAGTGTCATCCTTGCATTTATGTCCCTGCCAACAGCCACATGTCCGTTTCAGCTTCAGCCTTTAACACAGCAGTTGCCGGTAGGTTTTCCTTGTTAGGAACGGTCACCACCATGGAGATCCCTCGGTTGATACGCAGTTATTACCCTTACACTTTGCATTTTCCTAATTAACTAAAGCAGTGTGTTTTGACAGCATCTCACTAAAGCGAACCTTGGCCAGTTTACTATTTTTTTCTTGGTAATGGCCAGCGTGGGAGACCCCTGGAACTTAATGACCCAGAACAGAGGTGTCAGGAGTTCATATTCTCACAGTCAGGAAGGTAAAAAGTAGACATCTGGGAAGACCACTTGGGGTGATTAAAGTTCATATTGGCCAGGGATTGTTGAATCCTGTAGGGGGAAGAGGGGTTAACTCTAATACCTTGTTACATGTTGTTCCTAAGTATGTATAGGAAATTACATGATGTGCAATAGTGTATATGCTATTTGTTTACAGTCAGAAGGTCAGGCTTTGTTACTTACCACTGGGTGACCTCTTGAACTTCGTTTGCAAAACATACCTGTTACAAGTCATTCTACCTTAGCTGAATGGTTCTGAAAATCAAAATCAGAAAGGATGTACATACAAGGGCTTTGTAAGTCAGATGTGTAGGAGAAGATCCATGATACTGTGAAAAAGCCACTGTCTCTGATTTTTAACCTCTCCAACTAAGGTGGCTTCTAGGACTTGCCTTCACCAGCAGGGCTGTGGGCTCCACATTTGTTTGCTGACTCAAGTGTAGGATTCCCAGCTTCCTCCTTCGGGTGCAAAGGCCAGGTCTCCTTTTGTGGGCCTTCTTTAGTCTTGCCCGTGGGCCTCATGGTGCACACTTGCTGGTGTTCTTTTGTGGAGTCAGCAGCCCTCTGTGGCTGCAGGGACAGAGCCTACGAGGCCCACTGGCCATTGCTGCTTTTGACACTCAGTCATTCTGTGCTTCCTTCCCTTCTGCAGTCTGGCCAGGGCCTGAGAGGTCAGTCCCTTGTTGACCTGTCACTTTGCCTCCCAGGCCTAGCAATGGGGGAGGGGGTCAGCCAATCCTTTCTCTCTAGCCCTAGGACAGCTAACCCCTGACCCTGGACTCCCTCATTGCCCAGCTGTTGATGGCCAATGTTCTGCTTTGGCCTTGTCTCTTGACTGACAGATCTTTTGGGGTCTGCTTGCCCTTCCCTCTTCTCTGATGTCAGAGGGTGCTGGGTGGAATTACCCAGGCACAAAAAGACTCCCCAAATTCTGTATAGGGCAGAGGCCCATTTTGTGAATTTAGGATCCCATCCCCCTTTCTTGGCCTTTTTGCCCAGATCCTTGGGGTGGCTGCCAACTCTGGGGCCAGGATTGGGAGCCTGAGATTCAGAGACTGAGGACAGAGGTCCAAAGGGAGGCGGAGCTGTCATGAAGGCTGCCTTTTGGGGGCCTTGAGCTAGCTGTGGCTAAGGGATAGGCAAGGGTAGGAGAAACTGCATCTCCAGTCCCATCTGAGCAGGTGCCAAGTCTTGACTGTGAGGTTCACACTCCTCAGAGCTGAGGGAAAGGGACTGGCCAGTCTTCCAGGGCATTTTGTCCCCTATTTGCATTTGGGATTGTGCAAATGACCAAGCCAATAGAGTCCTTTCTGCCTGGAGTCCCTGACAGTCTGAGGACAGTCTATAAACACCAAGGGCTGCTTATCTTGGAGGATGCTTCTCCCATTAAGGCAAACTTCCACGTCACTGGGCCAGATCTGTTGAAATGGTGAGTGCCCAGGGCTGTGTCTGGTCAGAGCAGGTGCAGGGTGATCCGAGATTGGTGATAGGAGGAGATCATTTCCTCCTGCCTCTGTCCCTCATACGGATGTCTCTGGAGGCTCTGTAGCCAGGCCTTCAGAGGCCCAGAGCGGGGTGCAGGATGGGGGAGTCTGGGAGAGATGGTAGGTAGCCAGCCCTTGGGCTGTGGGGCTGTTTTATGGGAAAAACTGGTTGTGAAAGAGCTGGCAGAGGTTTTGCAGCATGCAGAGAGCGATGTGTGTGAAAGGGGAGAGCAGAGTGGCTGTGGAAAGGGGGCCCTTGTCAGGCTCCCTTAGTTGGACGCTGGGGTGAGATGGTAGCAGGGAGAGAAGTGGCCCTAAGATGGCTTCTGGGGGAGAGATGGCCTTAAGCTGCCTGCTGTCCCTCTCCTGGCCCATGCTGGACTATGGAGGTTGGCTTGGAGGTGAGGGTCTTCCAGCCACAACTCCTGTTGTTGCAGTTCCCTCCTAGAGGCTTTAGTAGTAAGAAAGCAAAACTTTAGCTCCCTGGACAGCAGCTGAGAAGAGAGAGCCGTCTGAGGTGTCCAGGATTGCACTCAGCTTCAAGAGGTCCCTCACCCTTGGTATGACGCTCAGCACATAATGCCCATTAGTGTACAAAAGGTGCCCATGACCTTAAGTTTGAACTTGGAGCAGGGGAGGAGGTCTATCCCTGCTGGGCACCTCTTTAAACTGGGAGCTACTGTGAAGTGTGCTGCCTGGCTGTGTTACACACATCAGAGTGGCCCTCAAACTTTCCTACCCTGAAGTCAGAGCCCCAGGGGTGACAGAAGGTCTCTGGTCTCTTCAGTCTTCTTTAAGCACTCACCCACAGGGACAGTAGTGTAGGGGTAGTAGCACTGACCGTGTCACTTCTCTTGTGATGGTGAGATGAATAAAGACCTTCCTCTAATCTCTGCCTCCCAACCTCCTCCTGACAGAGCCTTTGGGGTTAAACTGTCATTAGGGGTTGTGTTACTGTGGCCTTGGCCTGCCCTAGCCCCAAAAAGACAGGGTGTTTGGGGCGGTGGTAAATGAGTGTGCATGCCAAATGGCATCATTGGTCAGCCATTGAGCACCCTGGTTCTGGCCCTTGAACTTCCACATGACTGCAGGCTGGAGGAAGAAAGGACAGAGCAGGAGAGCCACCTGGATCTCCTGGATCTCCTCTACTGTGGGAACAAGGTGGTGGACGGGAGCAAGGCCTCCCAGCCAGAGCCAGACATCATCACTGAACTCACTGTGCAGGTCCGTGATGTGTGTGGTCTTAACTCTGTAGAAGCCTAAAAATCTCACCAAGCAGTGCAGATACCAAGCTGACAGATGTGAAGCTCCCCATGGTCCTTGCTGAGATCAGGGAGCTCCATTTGAGCTCTGGGGATCCTTGGGCATCTTGGAGAAGCTGAATAACACATCAAGGTCACACAGCCTGCATTGCCATGGCCAGGGCTGAGCTCTTCCCTTAGGACTTCTCCACTTCCGATCTGAAAGAACACCTTGTATTCCTTAGTGTGTGCGGCGTGTGTGTGTGTGTGGGGGGGGGGGCTGTGATCTCCTCAACCTCTATAAATTACACAGTGCTCTGTGTGAGTACAAAAGTCTATTTTAGCCTGAGGTCCCGCTCTTATAGAGAGTGACATGACACAGGTCACTTAACTTTCACTTTCACTTCACCTGCAAAAATAGATGCTTGAAAGCAGAGATCTCAGGTTCCTTTTGTCCTAGTACTCTGCCACCTCTGCCATTACCAGCTGCCTGTGGCACCATGTGACTTCTGGATGTGACTAAACTCTGTGGTCACCACCAGTGTCTGTCTGTCCTTCCTTGTGTGAGCTTCTACTCACTGTGCAACCTCCATTTCTCCCATTACTGACAAAACAGCAGGAGGCTTGGGGGACTCTTAAGAAGTCATTTCTGGGACAACACCATAAGTAGGTAGTGAAAGATGCTCCAGGAAGCACAGAGCCCGTATACCTCCCTGCCCTCAGCATGCCAGACTTGCTCCCCATGCATCTGCATACGCCTCAAGGATACTCGGGCTTCACCCTGGTCCCCGTCCCGTCCCGAGGACACTGGATTTCTGCAGCGCTGGGGCCTGCCCTTCAAGCCCTGCAGGGAGTTCCAACAGTAAGAAGAGTGAGCAGTCCTGAGGGTGACATTCACTGCTTGCCAAGAACCAGGCTTTGCAATTCTGTGGGCTGTTTTAGTTCATCTCAGAACAACAGGTACCCCAAGGCATATGCAGGTGTGAACAGTGCTTTTAGGAATTCCCCTGTAGCATATACCTCGGCTACATTGTCTGTCTAACGAGTTGGTGCCTCCGATTTAAGAAACTGCTGTTTTCACTGGAACGCAGTGTTATTGTTCATCTTTTGGGAAATAATCCATCAGTCTGAAATAAGGGAATACATCATAAAGACACATTATGAGACACTGTCCCTGGGTTGATGCCCCTCCGTGCTTTCGTAGGACATTCGTACACTTTCATGTGCTGAGGCCTTGTGTCTGTCTTGTGCCGGGGAAATCTGGGCAGCCCCACCGATGCCTGTTGGCTCCATCCGCAGCACAGGACTTAGTTTCTCCATCATAGACTGACAGAGGTTCCTGGGCAGAGGCTTCTGGCCCAGGAATGGAAGAGCTAGTGACGCTTTTTTACCCTTCTCTGTCAGATGCACTTGCCCAGGATGTCTGAGGGCCCAAGGCCAAGGGCTGGCTGCATCGCACCATGAATGTCACAGGGGAAGGTTACTGAGCAGAGAAGTGCACTCCTGTGACCCGTGTGCAAGAGGCCTACGGCAGAGTAGGAGCGGGGGGCCTCGCTCAGTTGTACTGAGCGGGATGGGGGCAGCACAGACAGGACTGGCAGACAGCAGGTAGGTGTTGGGTGCAGCACCATAAAACCCGGCCCTCCAGGTGGAAGGGGCAAATGGTAGAGGAAGAGAAGCCAAGGAGGGACAGACAGCCAGGCCTCTTGGTGTTCCTGGGATTCAGCTGAGCTGGGAGGGGAAGAGTGCGAATGGTTCAGGGACCCGTGGAGTTTCTAAGATACTGCAGACTTAACGCTGGATGGCAGCCTCCTCCTGAAAGTACTTTGATAGCTGGCATGGTGGTCATGCCTGTAATCCCAGCTATTTGAGAGGCCAAAGTGGGAGGATTGCAAGTTCTGTGCTAATCTGGACAATTTAGTGGGGCTCTATCTCAAAATTAAAAAAAAGACAGGGAGGTGCAGCTCAGTAATAGAGCATCCATGAATTCTGTCTCCAGAATCAGGACAATGGTGGTGGAGAGGATTTCAGTAGTGCATGTTTTTGTAAGAGGACATTGTATAGAAAGAAGTGGAACTACTACAGTGAACTAGATTGTGTGGATTCAGCCTAGTATTTTTGCTATAAATAAATCGGAGTATGTCTCATCTCCCCCATGCATGCATCTTCATTTCTGCATCCAACAAATTCATTGGAGTCCCCTGCACTAGAGATACCCTATGGGAAGATTAACTGCACTTCAGAACTCCCCCAGGTCATGAGAGAGGAAGCTGCGACCTCTCTAAATGGTTGGCAACAGGGGGAACAGTTTAGACTCTCAGCCCCAGGCTTCCTGTCCACACTATTATGGTAATGAACTTTACACAGGACATGATTGAAAATACAGTGACTGTTTACATCTTTAAAATGTATCACTGTGAAAGACGTATTACCATTATTCCCCCTCAAAATACACCCCATCACTTTGAACATTTATTCCATTGTCCTTACCACTTTCTGAAGCAGCCCTGGAGGTATCCTTTTTGAGTGTTTTCAGTTCCACTGTCTTTAATCTGTCCTTAATCTCCTGAATCCAGATGTTTACCTTTCATTGTCATTTTGACTTTGGGGAAAGAGCTAGAAGCCACATGGAGTCAGAACTGGATAATAAGGTGGATGAGGCCACGCCATCGTGTGACTCTGAACTGCCTTCCTGCTGACTGGTGTTTGGCAGCAGCATGCATTGTATCTTTGCTCCCACCTCGTAGAGGCACTCACGGAAGAAGATTCCGGACTCCTTCAGAAAGTGGCAAGAATGCCAGAAATAAGTGTGCTCAAAGGGAAGGGGAGCTTTCTGAGGGGGATTAATGGCAATGTGTCTTTTGATATAATAAACTCTTGAAACTGAGACATTCAGTGTAGTTTCCCATCACCACTTGTGCAATCAGTGCACGAGTGAAACGGGGTGGAATGTAAGAGGTGCCTTGCATGTTGGTGATTGAGCTGAGAGTAGAGGCGTTTAGGTAAGATGCAGCGGCTCTTCTCTGTCCTGGGTTGTAAGACCAGAGGGTCCTTATCAGGGTGGAGAATGGTATGAAACCTCGCCACTGCCCTTGCCTTGGTTGGTGCTGCCCTCGCTGCACTGACTTCATTGTTTATAAAACACTGTTGGGTGCCAGTCCAGAGACTACAGCAAGATCACATCAGTGCTATCATTCCTTATAGAACTTTGCCTGAGTCCCCCACCTGCAGGCCATGGGACCCTCCCAGACAGCCCAGACTTACTCTCCTCTGTTCCATCGCCCTGGCCTTGCTGTCCCTGCTGGGGTGAGGATAGTCCTTTACATGTGACTGTGAGACACAGAGGACCGGGAACCTTGAGCCATCTGTGATTCATTGTGGGTATTTAGATAAGCTCTTTCATCCCTGCCTCAGTCTCTTGGTTAAAATCCTGACCAGCCTTAGTATGACCCACAGATAAAAATCTTGTCATGTATGTGATGCAGGGGTCAGGGCCACTCCTGCAACCATCCAATTGCCTTCCTCCTGCTCGGGATCTGCAGGCCATCAGGCTCTGAGAGCCACATGCCCTCCCTCTGTCCCCTGACCACCTCCTCTTGTTTCTTGCAGACTTTAAGTTCGCCATGTATCCGCCATCAATGATCGCAACTGGAAGCGTGGGAGCAGCCATCTGTGGGCTCCAGCAGGACGAGGAAGTGAGCTCCCTCACCTGTGATGCCCTGACTGAGCTGTTGGCCAAGATCACCAACACAGATGTGGTAGGTGGCCGCCACCTTCCTGGTTACCACCAGGTGTCTCTTCTCAGCTCCTGGAAAGCGACAACTGGTTTGATTATGATGGATTAAAGGTTTGGGGGGCGTTTTTTTTCAAGTGTCTGTTTTCTAAAATCCACACTTAAAGTAGTCCAGAATTCAGAGATGAAGCTCCTATCAAAGTACTACACCATGAAGTATAGGCCAGAGCTCAGCAAACTGAGACAGGTGGGGCAGGGGTTGTCCACTGATTACCCTCTAGTGTGGGTTCCCTGGGGGACCCCAAATCCTGCTTTATTTCCATTTCTGTCTGACTTCTCAGTGGAGAGCCTGGGTTTTGCTTGCTGGGGGCAGCAGGCACAGAGGGAGTGGAAGGCTGGCACCAGGAGTCCCCCAGGAGTCAGTCTCCCTCCTGCCTCACTTCCCTGTTCCTCCTTGTAGTGGGTTAAAAAGAATTCTGAAAAGATAAAGTGCTGTGGAAATTCAAGACACTATTATTAGCTATCGACTTTTTCCATTCTCTGGGCAGCCCAGAGGTAGTTGCTTGTGATGCCAGAATTTGAAGCTCTTTAGCAAAAAGCTTTTGAAACAGATCAGAGTGTAGGGAAGCCCTGATTTCTCATTTGGACAGTGTCTGTGCCCCTCGGTCCCCAGAGGTGGCTCAGAGGGCAGCAAGAAGCTTCCTGAGGGACCACAGGCAGGGGCAGAGCTGGGCCTCCAGCCTCTAAGCTCTTGACTCCAGCCTGGAAACTTCGTGCTCTTCTACTGCAGCTCCCAGAATCTTTTTGTTTGGAAAAGGCCTTTGCTTGAAAGGCAGCCGGAGAGGGGTGGTAACTCTGTAGCACTTGGGCGTCACCACGGAGAGGCTCAGGAATGCAGGGGAACTTGGAGATGACACCCTCCGGATGTTCCAGGGGAATTTAGAGTGCCCTGTGTGGGGATTTATTGAGTTGGGATCACGTGATATGCATGCTGGGGCTGCCACCTCCCAGGGGCTGTGGAGCAGAAGGTTAAACCTCAGAGCCCTAGGCTGTGGCTTGCTGGCTGCCTTGCCCACCCACCTATAGTTTCCTTGGCACTTGCTGCCTGCTTAGAAGGAATGACAGGTGTTGCAGGGCCTGATGGAAGAAATCCTGGCTCCTTCTCTAAAGTAGTTTTTAGATTGGCTTTTTCGTTCAGGCCTCCAAAATACAGACTGCAAAGGGCTCTTCCAGCGCATTCATGAAGAATTTTCTAATCCTGCTTTTCTAATCCTCCAGAGAAACATCATGGACAGAGCTGAACATTTATAGCAAGGTCCATTTCCTTTTCTCAGTGTCTCCTACTAAGACTGCCTTATAAGTAGGATTCCCAGCCAACTGAAGACAGGCCCTTCCTCAGCCCCTGGAGACACAAATGGCCCTGACAAGGGTTGACCTCCAGGCAACATCACCTCTTTGAGATATTTATAGACCTGCTCCTTCTGGCTGATCACCCCAGCCTTCTCCCAGATCACTTTCTATCTCTGTCCCCTTTACTTGGACTGTCATTGTCTTTGTTTTCATGACTGACAACCTGTCTGTCATCCTGCCATCTCATACTGGAGGGACTGTCTACTCTTTATGGATACTGTGTTGCAAATCCATTCAAGCTTATTCTCAATCCAGTTTATTGCTTAGCAATCACAGAAATTGGGTTGGTATCTTTTTCTTTTTTCTTTTCTTTTGAGACAGGGTCTCACTGTGTAACTCAGGCTGATCTTGAACTCGAGGTAGTCCTCTTGCTTCAGCCTTCCCAGTTCTGTGATTACAGGGGTGCACCAGCATACTGGACTAAGGTATTTCATTTTTAAGGGGCCTCTGCCTTGCTTCTTAAGCAGAAATCCATGACCAGGCCTTATTCTCACAGTGGGAGCAGGGACTAGACATTTGAATATTAAAAACCAAGCATACATAGAGTTAATAGACTACGAAATTCATACCCCTTGTTTAGATAAACATTTGAATGGTTCCAAGCCAGCTCTGCTCCCCCAGAGACTTACACATGCTCCCCAGAAATGTTTTTAGTGAGAGAGTTTGAACTGATCCAGGCTATGCAGCCTCTTAGGGCTGCATCTCCCGCCTGTCAGCTGTGCTGTCCGCAACGCTGAGGTCCAGCACAGAGCATGGTGGCTGGGGCTGAGAACACACTTGCATTTGGAGGGAGGGAAATTTTGCTTCCTGAGCTGCGCTTACTATTTCTCAAATCAAAACATGACGTCTCGAATGCTTGCTCTCCCTTGACTTCTGAGCAGACTCTGAAAACCAAGTTGTTGCACACTGGTGCATTATGAGGTAGAGAGATGCTCAAGGCATGGTCCATAGGCACCACCTTGAAAGTTGGGTGCAGGTGAAAGGTGGGACATGGAAAATGGACCATGAGGCTCTTGCCTCAACAAGCTTACTGATTATACCGAGAATCAAGGAGTGTATGCCAAAATCCCTGCAAGTTCAGATCATAGATAAATGAGTACTCCATCCATTCAAACGAAGGAACTCCTGAAGCCTAATATAAAAATCAAGTCTCTTAGCAGAGTACAGTTTGGGACGGAGAAACAAAATGTGGTATGAATGTGCACGTAGGAGAATATTCAGCCTTCAAAAACAGGAAATTCTGATACATGCTTCAGTGTGCCTGAGCCTGGGGAAGTGTGAACACTAAGCAAAGTAAGCCAAGCACAACAGATTAAAAACTGCATGTGGCACCCAGCTGGAGTAGTTGGGTGCAGAGGGATGGGAAGTGGGAGGAAGTGACCCGGATTTGACAGAGGAGAGATGGAGAGTTAGTGTTTACAGGGTACTGGGGTTCTGTTTGGGACGATGAGAAGTTCTGGAGAGGAAGAATTCCGGTGGCGACAACCATGTGGATGCATTGAATGCCAGTGGAAAACGGTGAAAATGGTAAAATTTATGTTACATATTTTGTTTCAGTTATTTATGCACATACATACTGTGTGTGTGTGTGTGTGTGTGTGTGTGTGTGTGTGTGTGTGTGTATACAATATCCTCAGAGTACAAAGTACCTGTTTCTGTTGAGTTCTCACTAGAGAGCTCAAGAATACACAGATCCCAGGCCAGTTTTACCCCTAGTCCTTTTACCAGGAACCAAAAGAGCTGGGTGGACTGCAGGATTGTCCCCACACCCACACCTCGCCAGTGCCTGTGTCTTCCTACTTGTGCTCACCCGCACTCTGGGTAGCCACGATGACACTGGAGAGAGGCTCCCTGCAGTCCGTCTGAGACAGCCACACAAGTTGCTCCTGCTCACTGGCCATCTGCAGTTAGCTGGGACAGGAGGGACCACGGGACGCTGAAAAAGTGGGCCTTGCTACTCCATCTGGTGACCAAAGTGAACTGGAAAGTTCCATTCCAGGGAGAAAGCTGAGTGAGCAGGCTGATAGTGTTTCAGGGAAGAAGAGTCTCAGAGGGTGGCGTATTTTAAGTGCTTTCCCTTCCAGTCCTAACAGTTGCTAAAAACAGACAGCAGCCGGATAGGCTGGCTTCGGGGGACTTCTACAGAGGCTTCCGTTGCTAAGGGTAAATCAGAGCAAGACCGACTGGCCCAGCCCCCGCAGAACCGGGGTTCCCCTTCCGTCCCTCTGCACTGCACTCATGCCCCATGCCAACGTTTACCTCACTGCTCACTTGTCTATAGGACCCTTGAATGAGCCCAGCTTTCATCAGTGCCCAGCACAGTTCCTGGGAGCAGTGCTGGAGCGGGAGAGGAGGAAGGAAGCAGTGGAGGACAAAGGGGAGGCAGGCGGGTTTCAAGTGTGCTCCCACTCATCTGTGTCCTGGAAGCTCTGCCGGTAGCTATAATATGTGTATTTGACAGAATTGATGTTGGGGTCCTCCGTGTGTTGCCTGACTTTATCTTGTATTTAATGACACTTTCACGACTTAAGAGTAGAATTGAGAACATGCGAGTTTATTGGAAGATGTTTAGCTGAAGAGGTGTGGACTCCAGGTCATCTCGTCGTTATATTGAGCTTTTTCTATCTCAGTTGCATCAGAACTCTTGGTCACATTCTTAAGCATGGCTCAGAGAAGATTCCAGATGTGCTTTTCTCAGGGTCAGCCTGGCATTTCAGGATCCTGACTGTCAGATAGCCAGGTGGTGGAAGAAGGCTCCCCTTGGACCACAAACTGTTCAGGTCCCCTGTCCGTCTCCCTGTTAGCCAGAAGCCCGGTGCAAACTGAACAGACCTGCTGTGACTGCCTGAGGACTTCCAGGCCTGTGGTCAGGAAAAGGCAAAGAGGGAACTGGAGGTGCGGAGGTGGACTAGAACAGCGCCTCCTTTCCTGCTGCCTGCCTGAGCTGCCTCATTTGGTATGCAGGGAACCCAGCCAAACAGCCTTCGAAGAAAGGAAGAATGAGATAGTTTCCTAAGTTGTCTCTGTCTGAGTTGGCCAGGGCTTGGGGCTCATTCAGCCCTTTGTGCCCCTGTTGAGTGCTGTGCGTGTGTGGTGACAATGTCTGATGCAGTTACACTAGGATCATGGTAGGAGTTCCGCCGGCCCATTCATGGAGGCAGAGGAGGGTGCAGGGCATGGGGCCTGAGCCAGCTAGCAGAGGAAGTCGGGTCCCTTGATCGAGCTGGATCACAAACACCCTGTTAGGGCTTGGGCTGGGGGCTGGGGGCTGGGCAGGGGCTGGGAGGCTGAGAGAGAGGGGCGGGAGAGGGCCGAGTCCTGGCGTTGGAGGGCTGCCCGACCCCCAGCGCTGTGGAGTGCCACCTGTCTGGCTGACAGACGAGCATTATGGCTTTCCTTTTAATCAGCTTAATTTGGAGCATCTTAGCACAAGGTCTGGTGTGATAGGAGCCTGTCGCCAGGCTGCGATCCTGTGGCTGTTGGCCCTCACATCCCAAGCATCTTAGCCTCGGGGGCACTGTCCTTTTCTCCCTCTGGTCACTTCAGCTCTGTCTCAGAGACACTCTGGCTTGTAGTTCCTTCCTATACCCGGGGAAAGGCAGAGGTGCACAAGGAGAAAGCTCCAGAATTGGAATCCAGTCTTATTTCATGGTTTAACCTCTGTCTTTTTTTGGTTTTGCCTTTGTTTGTTTCTGATTGTTTTGAGACAGGATCTCACTTTGTAGTGAAGGCTAATCTCGAACTCACAGTGATCCTCATGCCTCAGCCTCCCCCAGGGCTGGGATTCTAAGTGCCTGCCACTTGGCCCACCTGGGGCAGAGCCTTACTAAGCCAGGCTCAGGTTTATTTCCACATCACAAGGAAGAGACAAGCCACGTTGGCTCTCTGGGCTTCGACTCCCTGCTGGAAAACGAGGATATTTGCCCATGTGACCCAGTGGGCCTCTTGGGCCTCCCAGTTCTCTGGATTCTGTGGTTAGGAACAGTATGTCATCTGGTGGTTCTGCCCCTTGGGGGTACTCTTGACTCCACCCCCGCCTCCGTGTAGTCTCCCAGCAGCAAGAGTGTAGATGGGTTGGAGAAAGGGGTAACAGCTGCCCCTGCTCCAGGCCCACATCTTCTTGTATCTCAGATTGGTGAGTAAGACAAGAGTTTGGGGGCATTAGATCAGGTGGCAGGTAGTGTCCCTGCAGCCTTCTCGCCTTTCATTTCCCACTGCTCCCCGAAATCCACATGCCTCCAGGAGATAGGAAGGTTCTGCAGGGTTAAGTGACGCGGCCTGTGTGCATCTCCAGGGAGGGGTGCCACTTGCTCCACCTGCAGAAAGTAGAGTATTCAACCATTCACACAAGACAAGCTCTGAAGAAGGTTTTCATCTCACTGGGCTGAGACTGAAAGATTCATATAGCTGAAAGCCAACCTGACAGCCAAACGTGGCAATCCTAGCTCTTCAGGAGGCTGAGGCAGAAAGGTTGAAAGTTCCAAGTCAGTCTGGAATAAAATCCTTTCTCAGAATAAAATTTCAAAAGAAAAAAAAAAGGAGGAGGAGAAGACAAAGAAGAGCAGACAAGTAACTCAGTGGTTTAGTATTGCCTGGCGTATTGTTCTATCCCTAGCCACCAGTGAAGGGGAAAAAAGCCAAGCTGACGATTACCAAGTAGGGGTGGATGTGAGACCTGAAGGATTGGCTGGGGAGCCCAGACATGGTTAGCAGCCTGTCCTATCCCAACGGGGAACTAAAAGGCAGCAGAGACTGTGGTTGAAGTCCTTTTCTGGGGTAACTGCTTTAGTCCTCCTTTTTCTCTTTAAGAGGAGGGATCAAAGGTCAAGGATCAGGGATGGTTGGGTTGAAACAGGACTGAGGGAAGGAGAAAGGATGTGTTCTCTATGTAGCCTGACTTCTCCCGCAACCTGTGTGGAACGTCCTGTGCCTGTGTTCCCGTCTGGACCTGAGGTCTGCATGCCCCTCCTGCATGTGTCACCTTAAATTTATGGCTCTAATCCTCAGGAGAAGGGACTACAGGGTGTAGCACTCCTATCAAGGGACTTGGTCAGAGTAGTGTCCAGTTGGAAACAAGTGCATGCATGGTTACTGCTCCTCCCCTGTCAGACCCACATCCCCCACTGCCCACCCTGAGTAAACGCTGGTCCATACCCTGGTCAGACAGTTTGAGCTGCGAGAGTGGCCCTTGTGGTCCAGTACCACAGTCAGCTACTGGAGGAGGGCCGCTTTCATTATTAGGTGATAAATGATAATCACTGATTGATCATATATTATCTCAGCTCCTCTTCATCTTGGAGCATTTTGTCTTCTTTGTTTTCCATATAGAGAAATGAAAGTCAAGAGTTTAGCTCCTGCATGCTACAGTGGATAGGCAGCACACACCGCCCTCTTCCCCATTGTTCTTTTGTTTGTGTTTTTTTGTTTTTTGTTTTCTTTGAGACAGAGTCTCACTATGTAGCCCAACCTGGCCTTGTACTCACAGCAATTGTCATGCCTCAGCCTTCCTAGTGCTGGGATCTCAGGTGCACCCCACACTTCCTGGCCATGCTGTTGTTCTAATGTTTCAGGTGGAATTGCATCTCTACCTTTAGCCCTCAGTCTGTCGTGTTCTTCATCTTAAATTTCATGAAAAGCTGTAGTTTGAAATGTGGATAGATGAGAGATGGAAAAGGAAAATGAACTGGGGGGCAGGTCTGGAAACTTGGATTCTTTCTTAGTTAACTTCAACTTTATTTTAGGTCTTTGGAAAATAAAGATAGTACTTTTGCACTTGGCAGAATGGCAACCCTCAGGTGGTGGGCATAGGGGAAATAAACTGGAGGGGTACAGAGAGATGGGGTTCCCCACGTTCTCCATCTGTGTAAGGTTCGGGGAGGATGCAGGAAGCAGCGCACCGAGGAGAGGTGGGGCAGTACCTGCCAGGAGCAGGCTCCTCCCGGGAGCCACAGTCCCTTCTGGTGACAGCCATGGCTTGACACTGCATTCCATGTCATCCAGATAATAACAGCTTCTGCTCAAGGCAGATGCACTGTGGATTTTCCCTACCAAATATAGACTAATAAAAGCAACACTGCAAATTCCTGCTTATTCCCAAATTGGACAAGCTCAAGGGTCCAGAATTTCATAAACATTCTGTATTGTGTTTGTATGAGAATTAAGCAAAAAGTTCAGGATTTTGTTGATGCTAAACACGTACACAGATGATTCAGTCCAATTTTCCCGTCCTACCTGATCTCTGGACCAGTTGGCTCTTGGTGAGGCAGCTGCTGGGCCTCCCCTTTCCCTGCCATCACCCTATGCAGAATGCATGTGGGTGTTCCTGTGTGAGCAGGCGCTGCCTGTCCTGAGGCAGACCATCACTTGGCCCAGTTCTCAGAGTAAGGCACTGTGGGCTCCTGCTAAGATGTGCTTTGTGACCAGGAGAGTTTGGGATGGGTGAGACACGTGACTCCATCCTGCTCCCTGCAGCTGGTCATGCGGTGCGCCCATGCACCCCACTTGCTGTGGCACTTTGAGACCAGCAGTCCTTTAGTTCTGCTGGAAAGTGAGCAGAATTGTGCAATGAAATAAATCTGTCGTCTTCATGAAGTGCTCTGTGTCCACTGCGTCTCACTCACAGCTCTTGTCTGGATCCCACTCCTTCCTCTAGGATTGTCTCAAAGCCTGCCAGGAGCAGATCGAGGCTGTGCTGCTCAACAGCCTGCAGCAGTTCCGTCAGGAGCAGCGTGACGGATCCAAGTCAGAGGACGAACTGGACCAAGCCACCACGCCCACAGACGTGCGGGACATCGACCTGTGAGGACGCCCTGCGGGCCCTGCAGAAGAGGCACGGTCACCATCTGCTCTCGCCTTTTCTGGTTGTGTTTTGTTCTTTTGTGTTTTAGGATGAAACTTTAAAAAAAAAATTTTTTTTGCCCTCACCTAGATCATATTTAAAGATCTTTTAGAAGTGAGAGAAAAAGGTCCTATGAAAACCATATAATTAAAAGCATTTGGTGCCTATTCAAAGTACAACATAAGGGAATCCCTTGTATACTCAAAGTTACTGTTTGACTGTGTAAAAGTAATAGTAAAATGCTTATGAGAAAATCTGCAGAGTAGCTAGAAGATATGTACACCTGCAATATGGGAACAAATTAGAGGAAACTCTGTTGATGATGTTGAACTAGCACATAGGCCCCTTTTAGAATAATTGCAAGAAACTGTATGTGCCATGTATGGCAAGATTAGATTGCAAAGCAATGAACTCAAGAAGGAATTAGAAACAAGGAGGGACATGGTGGGGAGGGGGTACAAACAATCTGTCCACATGACTGAACCATTTGCATGCGGAAACACCTTCCTGCCAAGCTGTGTGTTACAAAGCAGGAGTGTTGGTGGGTTTCTGCATTTGTATTTGTGCTATCCACAGCAGCTGCTACCTAAAAGATGTTGCATTTTGCCAGTGGGCCACAGGCGATTGGCTCCCAGGCTTCATGTTTGGCGACTTCCTTCTTACAAACGTTCATTGCAGACACCGCTGTATTGTTAGCTAGTGGAGAAACTTAGCTATGGGCCGTGGCCAAAACTCATCTGAAATGGAGGCAGACAGAAACCTAGGGTGGGACCCGGAATGGAATCTTCTCTTCTGTCAGAGGGTGAGGTGACCCTGGAATCCTTGATTAGGAAAAAATTTGTGGTTTTTTTGGTGCTGATTGGCATGTGTGGTCCACAACTTAGCATTGTTATAAACCATTCCATTCGAAAAAGCACTTTGAAGAATTGTTCCCAAGGGGTAGATGGGATGGTTTATGCAAATCACGCTGAATACTCCTTCCCTCTTCAATTTGCCCTTTTGCTTCCTGCCCCGAGTCTGGTTTTGTTCACTTCCGGAATCTGACATCCTTTGGTACAGAGAGCTCTGTTACCCTACCTGGGCTCAGGAGATGGTCCTTGCCGCTGACACTGCGGTCACGACATTCCTCGGAAACACCTCCAAACAGCTCTGTTACCATTGTTACAGCATAGAAGGATCTGAATTCCCGTCTGTAGCCTTCTCCTTTGGACATGGAAAGAAAAGTTATTGCTGGTGCAGAGACAAGATGGCTAAACATCAGGGTGTGGCACTTTGTCCCCTTTTCTGTTTTTTTGTTAATTTTATTACAAAGTTGTATTCAGCGTACTTGAATTTCCTTTTTCTCTCCACTTCTTAGAGGCATTCAGTTAGAGGTTGGAGCCACAACTTGGGTTTGTTTTCTGATTTTTTTTTTTTTTTTTTTTTTTTTTTGCACAATGGTAATTGACAGGTAATGAAGCTATTTGTTAAAATATTTGCTTTTTTTTAAGTAAAAGAAAAATCAGAACAGTGCTACTTTGAAGAGTATTTTATACGCAGATTCTGCCTTGTTTCATAGTGTGAGGGTTGAAGATGGAGAAACATCTAAGGGTCTCTTATCTTTCATTTTATTTTGTTCAGTTTATTATTATTATTTTTTGCGCTGCTAAGAAGCTAAGATCGTTCATCCTTATTCACATTAACAGTACCTAGCTGTAATGTTCACAGAGTGTGCTGCTATTTTATAAACATTTTTTATAATATATTATTTTACCGCTTAAATTCAAGTTCTGAAGTAGATGGTTAAGATATGAGTTCTTTGTACTGGAAAAGCCCTTCCATAGTTTGTTTTCTTCTAGTAGCGTATTCATGGTTTTTCTTTAATTTTTTTTGCTTTTTGGTTTTTCTGTTTTTGTTTTTTTCCTCTGATCACATTCTTCAAAGACAGAGTACTCTTTACCTCAGGTTTACTGGACAAAATCAATACTACAGAGGACAGTGATTCACAGTTTTGTTTTCATGATACCTCACAAGCTTACAGATTCTCCTTAGGAACCCACCGGCGGGAGGAGCAGGGCACAGGAGGGGCGGCTGGACACCCCCTCCTGTGGTAGCAGGGGCGTTTGTCCCCGGGGTCTCACACCCAGGGACCCTTTCAGTCATGAAGGTCACCAGGTTCACAGGTTCACTCCGGTATCCTCATCATGATGGAAAAAATGCATTGAACCAAGGGTGCCTCCCTCCCTTACACACACATACACACACGTGCACACACGGTAGACGTTCCCACAGACACCCACGTAGTGGGTCTGGAAGCCGTGAGTCCCACGGGGGCACGAGTCCCCAGGAGGCTGCCGGGAAGAGTCCCCGCAGGCTCCCGATAGAGGGAGCACCGTCCTCACCCTGCCGGGCCAGAGCTTTCTATTGCATTAAGGCCCCTTCATCTCCAGTCTCCGGGTTCTTCTCTATCTGCGCCCTTCCCTAACAGACACCTCAGGGTAGGATCATCTCCAAGGCTTCCTGAAGCTGCACGCTGATTAGTCTGCAGCATTCCTGGTGTTGATTCTCCCATCAGGTCCCCTGCGGGGTGGCGTGGAAGGGTGCCACACAGATGGGGCAGGACAGGAAGGACAGCTGAGAGGGGTCAGATGAGTACAGGATGGAGGTTGAGGGCAGGTGAGGAGTGCTCCTATGAAAGGACGCAGTTGCACATGAGCCGGTCTCTGAAGGGAGAGTGGGGGTGCTCAGGACTTCTGAGTGAGTGTAACCCTGAAACGCGAAGGTGTTTCCGGTGGGGCATTAGGTGGCGAATCTGAAAGTTTGGGAGAGGAAAGGTGAGCAGCTGGTGGTCAGCCAGTGTTCTATCCGGAATCCTCATGGCACAAGACACCTTTCATGTCCCTAGGGAGCCCTACTGTACCAGGAAGGCCCAAACCAGAGTCCTCAGGGGACACGGGAAGCCCATTGAGAAAATGGGGTGCATATTTCTGAACAGTGGCCAACCCTTGAGCTTAAACAGAAGCAGTGAACGCAAGAACCTTAACAAATAAGCCAGCAGGTCCCTGTCCACTGTTCCTGAAGGCCATATGTCCTGGACCCATCTAGCTGTTCCTCTTTTTTGTCCTTGGAGTGTAGTTTGACTGTGGATGTGGGGTTACCTGGCTTTGTTCCCTGCTCCCTGCTTGTACAGAAGAAGGGAGCCTGCATCCCCAGAATGACTGATCTCCCTGGAGCTTGGCCTCTTTTGTAGGAGTTTTTATCCCAGAGGGTCTCAGTTCTCCCCATGGATTTGAGCTTGCTCTCTCTCTCTCTCCCTCTCTCTTTCTCTCTCTCTTCTTCCTCCTTTGGCCCCTTTCCCCTTCCTACTTTCCACTAGAGGGAATTCTACTTTTATTCTGGTCTTTTTCTGTTTTGTTGTCTCGTCTTTATTTCCTCCATTTGTTTTTCTCCATCAGTGGGGGCTGAGTTGTTCCCTTTGCCTGCCAAATTTTGATTCTTCTCCTGTTTTGACCAAACCCTCGGGGAGAGAAAACCTAGTATGCCAAAAATATATGCTAAGCGTAAGAAAATTCCTTACAGGTTCAGAAAAGCCAGGAAGCGTGCAGGAGGACCCGAGGGGCAGTTCCTTTGGCCACCCCTTGAGTGGGTTTGTGAGGCTGCTTTTTTTTAGGTTCACCTGCCCAGAAGCCCACTGAATGGAATGAGGGGACCTTTGGTCTGTGTGCTCTCTCTTCTGCCTCTGATCAGTCCAGTTAGGGTACTGCTGGCAGGATGGGCAACTCCTCAGCAGGAGCTGGGCGGCTGTCCTGCCGTCTGGCCCCCTTGCAGAGGGTCCTGGGGGGGCCATGGGACTGACAGATGAAAATTGGAGGACTTTCTCAGAGGACAGGAGATTTTCCTCTCCACGGACTGTTGGGGACAGGGCTGGGAAAAGACACTTGCACCTTATGTCCTGTAAATACTGATTTTCTAGTTCAAGAAGGCAATATTGATAGTGTGGGAATTGGAGGGAGGAAGGAGGAAGAAGTCTGAGTAAGCCAGTTGACTTTGAAGCCAAAAGGATTCCTCTCTGTTTATCTTTGAGACAGTCCAACCTGGGGAATAGCTTTAAAAGGGAAATCAATGCCAAGACAGTGAAGTTCCCGGAAGCCAGCAAACCTCCCAGAGCTGTAGACAGAGTGCGGTTTCTGTTGGTGGAGGTGCAGAGCAGCTTCTGAGAGCTGAAGGGACAGTGCTCCGTCAGTGCGCAATAGCGTAGCAAGACCTGAGAAGATGCTTAATGCTTCCTCACATCAGGTAGCTTCAGCCAGGACTGATCTCCTGTCTCTGTGCATCTCTGCTTTTTTAAACATGGCTGGGCTATCAGACCCTGTTCTTGGCTCAGGTTTCAAGAAGCCATCAGCAAATGCGTACATGCGCACTGTAGCTGCAGCCTCCAATCCTCTGCAGCCTCCTCTGGGGAATAAAGTGCCTTACTGACTGTAGCCATTACAGTGTCCATTGCATTTTGACAGATGCCTGTCCTTGGAAAAGAAAAAGTTTCTCTTTCATTTTTAATTGGTTTTAGTTCATCCTGCTGGCCAACTCAAACATCCCCAGCCAATCACCAGGCCATTGGATTTTTTCCATTATGTTCATTACCCTTGTGTCACGTACCTCAGATCTCTCTATCTCTCTCAGTTAGAGTTTCTTGTCTTGGATTCTTTTTTTTTCTTCTTCTTTTAATTTGCTTTAAAACAAGTGTGATGCCATATCGAGTCAATGTTATTCTCTCACAGTGTACTCTATAAGAGGTGTGGGTGTTTATTTGGTCGGGATGCTAGAAAGTGCTTAAGTAGCATGATCAGTGTGAGCAAAAGAGGTTTTTAGGAAGTATGGAAAAAATGTTGTATTGGCTGCCTGTGAAGGGGTTTTATCTGGTCAGTGTCACGCCATTTTAAAAAGTAATAACCTGTTCTTCTGACTAGTGTGGAGGTGGATTTGAAGGTGGATTTGAAAATGGTGTTGAATGCAATTAGGTTATGCTATTTGGACAATAAACTCACCTTGACCTAACTTCTCTGCCATTGTTGACTTATTTGAAGACCGCAGTGCTCAGAGTGGAACATAGCTTTGTCACGTCTTGGCAGTGACGGGTGTGGTATAAAACAGGCACCCTAACCTTCAAGACGATCAATGTCCATGTTCTTCTAGAAGTGATTGCTGGGCCAGGGGTGTGGCTCAGGGGTGCAGTACGTGCCCAGCAAGCACGAGGCCCTGAGTTTGATTCCTGGTACCAAAAAAGGAAAAAGACCGGAAAATAACAGAAGTAATTGTAAATGTTTTCCCTGTTTGGGGCTATATAGGCAATCAGATTATAAACCAGAAAGCTAAGTCTATTCCATAAGGTAAGTCACACATGCTGTGACCCAGGCTCCGGTGACCATAGCCCCTGATACTGCCAGTGCTGTGAGCCAGCATTTCCTGTTTGAGGTGGGCAAAGCCCAGAATGCCTTTGTCCTGGTTCCAGGCAGTCTCTGGGGACCCCCTGCCCATCTGATTCTTGATTCTCTACATCCTTCAGGTAAGAGCCGGCCCATGACTGCCTTGGCTGGAAGCTGATAAGGCAGATCCTGGCAAAAGTGTGACAGTTAGGGGCTGGGGGCTTAGCTCAGCGGCATAAGCGCCTGCCTTGAAAGCAGGCAGTTGTGAGTTCGATCCCCGGTACCAATAAAAAGGAAAAAGACAAAAGTGTCACAGTTGCCTTGACCCAAATGAATTGCTTGGCCCCAGAGCCAACTGTTAGCTCTGACTCAAACCTGCTTTCCCAGGAGTGTGGGTTTGCAGAAGATAACAGCTTAATTCCCATTTTGATGTTTCTATACAAATTCATTTTCTCTCGGGGCTAGAGGTTTAGCTCAGCGGCATAAGCGCCTGCCTTACAAGCAGGCAGTCGTGAGTTCGATCCCCAGTATCAATAAAAAGGAAAAAGACAAAAAAAAAAAAAACAAATTCATTTTCTCTTTAGTTCCTTGTCTCTCTTTCAACGTATTGAAGGCTTCCAGGCATGGTGGCACACACCTGGAATTCTAGCATTTGAGAGACTGAGACAGGAATATCATCACTGTGAGTTTGAGGTCAGCCTGGCTCTGTTCTGTAGGGGGTTCAAGGCCAGCCTGCAGTGCATAGTGAGGCCATGTCTCAAACAAAACAAAAACCCTAAAACAAAATCAAAGTATTGAAGGCCATTTTCCAGTTTCTTTTTTTAATTCAAGTAATTGTTTTGTTGAACTAAAATTTGCATACTTACAATTTACACAGTGTATGATTCAGTAGATTTTAGCATTGACAGAGTTGTATGACTACAATCAAACTTCAGTCATTTTTGTCATCTCAAAACAAAACACTATCCATTAGCTATTGTCTCCCAACTCTACACCCCAACCATTAGCTACTCTGTCTTCACAGGTTTTCCTATTTTAATTCTGTCCTGAGTTGCTTGTGATAAGACTGAAACTGCTCATTGGGGAAATCCAGATTTAAATGTTCCCTATATTTTGTTTTTTTGGTGGCAGAGTCTCATTATGCAGTTCAGGCTGGCCTTGAGCTCACTTTGTAGCCCAGACTGGCCTCCAACTCACAGCAATCTCTTGCCTCAGCCTCTCAAGTACTGGTATTACAGGTGTGTGCCACCACGCCCAGTTGATATTCCATGTTTATTTTAAAAAACCACACAATTTGTGTCTCAGCCTGTTTCTGACGCTATCACAGAATACTGGAGTTCGGTGATAGAGCTCAGAGGTTTATTTAGTTATGTTCTTGGGACTCCTGGAGCATGGTGCCCACATCTGCTCAGCATCTGCCCAGGGCTGCCTTTCTGCATCTTGTGCAGGAGAGGGAAATGTGTGGAAGACAGAACAAGCAACCAGCACAAGCTCTAACTAAAACGTGAATGCCCTGGGGACCCTCCGCCATGACCTCCCAAAGCCCTGTTTCTAGGTGGCGTTAATATTCCCTCTGGGAATTAAGTTTCCAATGCACGAACTTTTGGGGGATCGTTTACATCATAGCAGTATGACTTGTAAGCTTTAAAGGATGCTAGGAATTCCTTTTGTCCCCTTCCCCATTGGCATCTGCCATTCTTAGAGGCAGCTGGGGTACAGTTTTTCCTGGGTTTCTGCTGAATGGGGTCTTAGCCTCTTGAAGGTCTTCAGGGCTTCTCGCTGTCTCTCAGCCCTCCTTGGAACCCTCTTCTGACAGCAGTGTCCCTGTCTTACACCTTGTCCCCGCTGATTTACTCTCCCAAACGTGTTGTGGCAACACTGGCTTCTCCACTCCGAGCAAAGGATGTCCAGGGTTGCCCAAGAACAGACACAGCAAGTGCTGCCTCCTGCCTGACTGGCCAAGGACACCTCAGCCTAGCCTCGAGAATCCCAGATCTTCGTGTGTGTGTGTGTGTGTGTGTGTGTGTGTGTGTGTGTAACCCTAGTGAGTGCCTTTGTATTTCTAACTCTCCAGAGACCTGGAACTCATTCTATCTACAGAGGTGACACCAAAACAGAGCATTCCAGTTGCCCTCATAGTGGTGTTCTTACTGTTTTGTCTTAAGCAAGTACTCAGACGCTGCATATCACACCAGATAATTGCTCCCACATTCTCCCAGTAATAACAATGGCAAAAACACTCTTAGCTGTGTGAGAGTGCAGGATGACAGGCTGTGTCCTTGGTCAAACATGTAGCCACACTCCAGACCCTAGGCTGCAGCAGCTCTGTGAGAAGATGGAACCCAGTGACTTGGGCAGCTGCAAAGGAGGACGACAGTGAATACCCAGCTAGTACAGATGCATGGGTGCTGGGGAGCCAGGGACCTTTCTGAGAGACCAGATGGATTTCTTCCAGCACCGGCTTAGGAAAATAAGTTTATTCAGACATTTGCATCTGGCAGCATAGTTTGGAAATAGCAATTTGAACTTTTTCAAAAATAGAGGGATGGAAAATTGATTTTTAAAATGAAGGGAAAATATTCATATGGGCAGTTGAGATGCACAGGCTATTTAATGGATCCTACGCTCATCATACAAGCGTTGCCCATCTGAAATGGAATCAACTCAGCCGCAAACTTGGATTGGGATCATCACTTACCTGATTTCTCAGGAGGCTTACTGGAAGGCAGCCAAAGCTTCCAGAAGCTGGCGACTTGCACCTCTGCAGGCCCTGGGGCCTGCCCTATGGTCACAGGCCAGTCACCCCAAGCCAGAGAACCATCCCCAAACCCCCCTCCCCTCCTACCTCTCCCCAGATCAATAAGACAAAGGCTAACTTGTTGACCTCCAGCTCTGTCATTACCCTCTGAAGCTCTGAGAAATGTTTATCCAAAATACGCCTTCAGTTTCCTTAGAATGATGTGCTTTGGCCTTAGCGACACCACTGCAGTAAATCACTACTGAGATCCAAGGTGCCACACGGAGGTTTAAATGGGCAGCTCTTTCTGTGTGTTCCACTAGGGGGCGCTAAAGCCATAGATGGGAGCCAACCTGTGCTGAGCTCTGCAACCTGCAGGTACAGGGGCTGAGCCCAGAGCTGGGACAGCGTTGGAGGAGCAGGATGCAGCCCGCGGAGCCGAGGCAGGCTTTCCCCATAAGTGTGGCCACATTTCCCAGGTCGGGTCCTCTCATTGCGGCCACACCCTGCCTCCATCTGGGATGGCTAGTGACTGAATTTGTCACCCTGTCCTGTTCTCAGTGTCTGATCTAGACATGGCAAACTGGCAACTGGCAGAACAAATCCAGCCAGCAGACACAATTAGTTAGACTCCCACAGTGCCCAAAATTGTCCTGGACTTAGTACTTGCCATGCAGGAGGACAGCTTTCTTGTGAAAGTCACAGTGCTGACTCCTCGGAGGAAATCTGGATCCTGAAGATCGCAGGCCTCAGGCAGCAAGGGCTGCAGCACAGAAATCTGATCATCTCTTCTCCCTCCACGACTTCTCTGCAGCCTGACTGTGAGGTTTTATTTATTTATTTATTTATTTATTTATTTATTTTTTGTCTTTTTCATTTTTACCGGTACCAGGGATCGAACTCACGACCGCCTGCTTACAAGGCAGGTGCTTACGCTGCTGAGCTAAATCCCCAGCCCCTGTGAGGTTTTATTATCTGCAAGCCCCAGGGGTCCTGAAAGCCCCAGGTGGAATAGACTGGAACCTTCCTGGAGAACAGAACAGGTCCAAAGCTTTCCCCTCCCCTCTCCTCCCCCCCTCCCCTCCCCTCCCCTCCCCTCCCCCTCCCTTCTCCTCTCTAGGCTTCCCTTCCCTTCCCTTTACCCCCTCTCCCCAGGTGACAGATAGCCTCTACTCCTCCAGCTGTGTAATCTGTACCTCTGGTGGGCTTTTGGTGATCAGACATCCCAGGGCAGGGCAGAGTTTTGCAATTCCTTGGGTCCCCAGGCTCTGTCCTATGCTGGAATCACCAGGTAGACCCAAAGTGGGTCGGGCAGGTTAAAGGTCCACTTTTCCTCTTTGCACTTCCTTTGTCATTTTTGTAGTTCTCTAGGCACCAGAAGAAACCCATGATATGCCGGATGTGATGCTGCACGCCTGTAATTCCAGCACTCAGGAGACTGAGGCAGAGTTCAGGGTCAGCCTGGGTTACGTAAGTGAGCTCAAGGGCAGACTGGATTACATAGTGAGACCCTGTCTCAAAAAAAAGTAAAAGAAAATAAAATAAAGAAAGAGACCCATGATAGGATACTGCTTTGGGATTCTGGACCTGTTGAGAAAGTGAACATCTCTGTGGCTTTTCAGCCCGTAGATAGATTCGGTGTCACTGCTGTTTACCATCCCCTTCCTCTGCAGCTTTCTAGATGTCTCATCCATTTCACAGGTAAGGGTTGGTTCCAAACAGGCATCCCAGGGAGGTGACACTTCAGGGAAGAAGTGCTTCTGTAGTATCTACTTTGCCAGCAGTAAAATTCCTTGATCTCAGACTAACAGCAGATAAAAAGTGCTGGTCTATAATGACATGGTGGTGCACACCTATAATCCTAGCACTCTGGGTGGCTGATGCAAGAGGACTAC